GAAACATCAGCCTTCCTGCTCCTCTGATGCTGCTTGGCCTGCTGTGTTCATCCAGCTCTACACCTTGTTACAGATTCTCCAGCATCTGCAGTTCCTAGTATCACTGCAGTCAAACAGTTTGCCGATGGTATGTGGAAGTGCAACTGCTGATTCTGATCAGCTTCCACCTTCAAATAAACAGAACTAGCTGGAAAGTTTTTTCAAAGAGTCACGGAGGACTCCTGATCAGCAAAGATTCTCGAGATGATTCACAGGCACATTGCCAAAACAAGTTTGACACTGAAATACATAAGAAGATAGTAACAATTTAAACTCTTCGTCAAGCGTGTTTCAGAGGAGGAAATCAGATGGAAGATCAGTCACGATCTTACTGCGTGGCTTGAGGAGTCATGTGGCCCACTCCTGTTCCTTGCTTGCATGTTTGTTCATATCAAAGAAAGCTGGAAGGTGACAACTTTTAAAAAATTGAGGATAATGCACTGAAAGTCCTATTCATTCCAGTAATTAGGAACATAAACGTACCTTATTTAGCACGTCTTTCTGTGACCCCAAGTACAGGTGCGGTAGGATTCGAGTAGGCCCGATATTGGCGACAGGTAGACATGGCTGAGAGATGCTCATTGGCAGGATAGCGGTAGGTTTGCCCTCACATAAGCCTGGGAAACAGGAGGAAAATGCAGCAAATCCTCCTACAAGAGAAGAAAAGAAAAAAAAAGTAACATAACTGCACTGTTACATCAAATTGCCGTACAATTGTCTGCCTTGCCACAATCCTCAAAACTCAACCTGATCAGTTTAACAAGTCTGGTGAGTGAAAGGCAGCCAAACACTGTTCCTCCAATTAAGAACATTTTGTGAAATAACTTCTGAGCTACAGAAGTCCTGCCAATTCGCATGAAACCTGATTCTGCGAGCTATCACTTCATGGATTGCAAAACTTTAAATGAACTCTACAGCCTCCTGAATGAGCAATAATTCAAACCCATCTTAAGGAAAGACATTCAGATATACTCACATGACCATACACTTTGTTTGGTTATAACTGCTGAAAGTCTGTGGCATACAGGAGGCAAACAAGGGTTTTTATTATTATCTCTTACTTGTTTCTTTCAACTTTCCCCCCCTCCCAACTGGAACATGCTTTATCCCGAAGCACCTTTAGTCAACACTGTCCTACTCCTGCAGGTCACTGAACAGTTACAGCTCCCTAATACCTAAAACTTACAGTGAAACATGTTTCCACAAGATCAGGCTATTGTCACCTTAATTAGGTGAACGGACTTCCTTCACGGACATGGTGAGATACACTGGCTATGTGGACAAGAGGGGATGTCACAAGCTGGCCCTAACCTTAACGTCCTTGCCCAATGTCCAACCACTTTCCCCCCTCAGACCATCGAACACTAAGTACCACCACTCTCACCTCACTCCCCACCCCCACGCCCCCAAACACACACACACACAGCTGGACAAATATTTGTTAAACCATAACTGATGCACCTTAAAAGCTCTCCAAGATTGGTATTGGTGCAATAAAAGAATAGAATCAAATACCAGCAAAGCAAGTTGATGAGACTTATTAGTACAAACAGCCTTCCACCTGCTCAGAATAGGCTACCTACCTGCCTCAACGTCCCGAGATAGAAAGCACTGCATCTAAATGGAGCAGAAAACCCTTGAGGTGGGCCAAGTGTTTTTGTGTGTGTGAGAGAGAGAGAGTGTGTGTGTCTGAGTGAGAGAGACAGAGATAAAGTGTGTGTGTGTGTGTGTGTGTGAGAGAAAGAGGGTGTGTGTTTGTGTGTCTGAGTGAGAAAGTGTGCGTCTGAGTGAGAGTGTGTGTGTGTCTGTCTGAGAGAGAGAGAGTGTGTGTATGAGGGAGAGAGTGTGTTTGAGGGAAGAGAGTGTGAGAGACAGACTCTTAGGTGCGCAAGCTGAATGACGTTATGCAAAAACTGGCAGCGGAACCCACATGACCACAGCTTCACTTGAGTGAGATTCAATCTTTCCTGTTACACAGTGTAAATTTACACAACCCTTAATGACTGATGAGGACCGCTCGCATTGACCTCAGAACTTCCACTCCCCACCTCCCCCCACCACAGCAACAGAAACACTTTCACTGCATTGATAACTGGCACTTAGGAGCTGCTTCTGCTGTAACGAAATGAGCTGGTAAAACTGAATCGACAAAAACTGATGCCAGGAACATGAACTGAAATGAAACCCAGTCATTTTACAATTTTCAGTGTTATTAATATCCAAAGTCAAAACGTTACGAAAGTGTTAGTACAGTGATACGAGAAGATAAGTACTTGCAAACAGAGACTGCAGTTGAGGTTAAGAACAGCATTTTTAAAAAATCTTTGTATCACCTTTAAACATCTGAGAACCATTTTCTCAGTTGAGGTGAACACCGTTTCCTTCAGATTCCAATTGACACTAACTGGACATGTTCCATTGCCTCATGAAAATGCAGAGATGATTTTATATAAAAATGTAAAATTATCAAATCAAAGGAACACCTTAGTATCAAACATACTAAACAGGAGTATAATATGTTAAGTTGCAGAGTTGAAAGATCAAAGCTGTACCGCAGAGTAACCTCTGGCACAAGCTATAAATTACAATTGTATCACCTATTATATCCAAGTTTTATTACAATGTTGTTTGATATGATGATAGTTTCCTGGTGCTGGACCTGAACAGCATGTTCTGGTGCTCAGCAAAGGAGGGGAAAGACTGACAAAGTGAACTTCAATCAGGCACTCATACAACAGTGAAACTAGCAAGCTGGTAACGTCATGTTAAGTTCATCCACTTAAATCTTGGTTCCGTGGCAGCACCCTTGGCTGTAAAGGTCAAACAACTGGTGATTCAAGTCTGGCTGGAGAGATTTATGTCGGTTATCTAAAATGACACCAGTGCAGTACCGAGGGAGTGTGGTATTCGTAGAGGTGCCACCTTTTTGGGTGATATGTTAAACTGAAGTTGGGTCTGCCTTCTCAGATGAATGTAAAAGATCCCAATGCACTAATTCAAGGAACAGTTAACCCTTGGCCAATATCTATCCCTTAATCCCCATCACCAAAAACAGGTGATCTGGGCGTTATCTCAGTGCTGCTAGTGGGGGCTTCCTGTGCTACCACATTTTCTACATTAGAACAGTGATTTACACTTCAAAAGTATGCAACTGACTAGAGTCATAGAGCTGTACAGTGCGGAAACAGACCCTTCGGTCCAACTCGTCCATGCCAACCAGATACCATAAATTAATCTAGTCACATTTGCCAGCATTTGGCCCATATTCTTCTAAACCCTTCCTATTCAGATACAATTACAACACTTGAAAGGCATTTAGATGGGTATCAGCCTCCACCACTTCCTCTGGCAACTCATTCCATTCACGCACCACCCTCTGCATGAAAAAGTTGCCTCTTAAGTCTCTTTTAAATTTTTCCCCTCTTACCTTAAACCTATGCCCTCTAGTTTTGGACTTCCCTCCCCCAGGGAAAAGACCTTGGCTGTTCACCCTATCCATGCCCCTCATGTTTTTATAAATCTCTGTAAAGGTCACACCTCAGCCTCCGACACTCCAGGGAAAATAGCACCAGTCTATTCAGCCTCTCCCTATAACTCAAACCCTCCAAACCTGGTAACATCTTTGTAAATCTTTTCTGAACCCTTTCAAGTTGAACGCCTTCAACCCTGAAAGCCCTGAGGTTATGAAAGGCACTTAATAAATGCAAGTTTTTTCAATTTTTTTTCCCCCTCCTTTGCGTCGAGATGTCAGAAAAATCAGACCACCAGGCAGAGAAAGGTTGAAAGATGTCAACCAATAAACAGGATGATCTCAGTATTTGTGAAAGTAGTAAAGGGTGGGGAGAAGCTCTGACAGGAAATGATTGTGAATTCTCCCCTTTATTGCATGCACCTTTGTAGATAAATAATATTGCTATGAGATCATCTGTAGTGAGTAGTGCTTAACAGTAAATTAAGCTGGCTACAGAAAAAAAAGTCCCTTTTCCTATAAACCATAATGATAAAACAAAACAGGCACACGCGCATGGGCTCTCTCAAATCAAAATGTGAATTGCTGCAAATATCTGATCAACTTCTGAAATACACGGTCGGACACCTCAACTGGATAGCTCAGATTACAGTCCCAGTCAAATCTTAGCTCTGTCCTAGTCGAGGTTACCTTGTGAGACCTGCACAAGTGCTGCCTGGTTCCTGCAGAGCATGTGTTTACATAACCATGTGCAAAATGTTTCAGTGCCCACATAATAAAAAACCCCTTTTATTAAGTCTTCTGGTCTTGGTGGAGACTGAAAGTTTTATCCCTTTGATTTCTAGTTGGCTCCACGAACAACAACCGTGTGATATGAAAGAAGATTTAAAAAAAGGTATCTTACATTTTAGTTGCACCTTTCATCCAGTCAACTTGTCATCAAACACTTGACAGACAATTAAGTACTTTTTGAGGCTGTTGTAATGCAGGGAGACAAAGCACTCAATTTGTATAGTTAGACTGTACAAACAATAGCCAGAAAATGCTTGAGTAGTGGTGACTGAGAGGGATATAGGCTGAAACACTGAAAGAACTTTGAAGAGTGCTCAGAAAAGCGAGTGCCAGATGGTGTCTCTGTTTAACATCTGAATGCAAAGAACAACACGTGTATCAGTGGAGCACTCGCTGCCCTGAATTGGATGACATTTGAAGTACAGCTACAAAACCACAGCCTTCTGACCCAAGAGACACGAGCATCAGCACTGAAAAACAGCACAACAAGCAGAATGATCTCCATGTTGCTTCACTCAACATCCAACAGCCAGGTGCAAGCTACAGAAAGAAGTGTTCATTTATGTAGCACCTCTCACTACCATTGGACATCTCAAAGAACTTTGCAGCCAATTTATTTGTTTTTGTTAAAGCATTTTTGAAGTGCAAACCACTGAGCACAGAAGCTAATTTGTGCACTTCTCAAAGAGCAATAGAGACCAATGTTTTTTTTTCCCCTGTGAGCTTAAATATTATCAGTGTATTTTTCACACACACCTTTGGGGATTAGTGGGTAAGTGGTGGCAAGATTCACAGACTGATTTGTGAAACAGCCTGTTGAATGCTCTCTCTTTGGCCAACGGCCTGGTGGGTATTTGATAGCCGAGAGTTAGAGAGTACTACTATTGTGCCACAGTCTTCTGTGATGTTAAATGATGCATTAATATTGGCCACACCAGGGCTAACACCCCAATGCATGGATTTTTTTTTTGTTACATCCACCGGACATTTGGTTTGAAATCTCATCTGAAAGATAGTGCATCTGACAATGCAGCACTCCCTTAATAGTGAACTGGAGTGGCAGCCTTATTTCTGAAGAAGGGCCCAGACCCGAAAAGTCAGCTTTCCTGCTCCTCTGATGCTGTTTGGCCTGCTGTGTTCATCCAGCTCCACACCTTGTTATTTCAGACTCCAGCATTGGCAGTTCCTACTATCTCTGGCAGCCTTAAACATTTGATTTAGAGGCAGGAGTACAATGAGCTGAGCTAAAGGCGATCAGAGTAAAGCATCCATCCATTAAAAATTTGTCAAATATTCTTGGTGTATGAATAGCTGAATTTGTTACTGAGGTGTGTGACTGCAAGAAACCTACAGCAATGCACACCAGTTTATTTGTACAGATTTATACAA